TATAATAGAATTAGGGAAATTTGCTCCTCAGCACAAAGGAGGTATGAGTTATTGGATATATTCATGGACCCATAATTTCTGACTTTGGGAAATCAATTAAGGGGTTCAGAATTTCATTTCTGGCAGAATTGGTTCAAGAACTATCAGCCTGTTTTTTGACATTCCATTTGATAGGAAATTCAGGAAGTGTGAAATCTTCAGTTGATGTGTGTGTACTGTGATTTTCTGCAATTTCCTTCTGTTTTAAAAGATACAATGGATGATCTTGCCCCAAGAGAAAAGGCATCCTTACTGGTGGAAATCCTTATTATATCTTTATACTTGTTTTTTTAGAGTATTATCAGAAGGCCTCTAGGGTTCTACAGACTTCAGATTAAGATGCACAGGTCTTCAATATTGAGATTACTGTATTTAGGCATATCATATGAAGAAACTAGTATTTTGTGACTAATGCCACATAAAATATTCTGGTAGTTGAATATAAATAATATAGTCTCATGACAGAAATATCTGACCAAATTTCAATTAAAACAAATGTATACACATAGCACCAAATAAAACAAGTTTACTTGGCATTTTCATTTGTTTCTTACATATAGGCACTTAAAGTTTACACATGGCTGTTACTTATAATAGACTTCAAAAAATGTACACTTTACTAATTTACATGCAAGTCTTTCCAAATATCCACTTACCTTTGGTCTAAGAATTTTTCTGACATTTTCATTCTCAGAGGGGCAGAGGAGCTAAACATAGGCTCTGGAATCAGACTGCCTGGGTTTAAATCTTGCTCTGCTGCTTATCGGTTGTGTCCTTGAGAAAGTTACTAAGCCTTTGTTTGCTCATCTGTAAAATACTGGTCATTATTTTTAAAAATATTTTATTCATTTATTAGTGAGAGGGAAGGGAGGGAGAAAGAGATAGAAAAATCAATCAGTTGCCTCTTGCACACCCCCAACTGGGGACCTGACCCACAACCCAGGCATGTGCCCTGAGCAGGATTTGAACCAGCCAACTTTTCATTCCCCGGGTTGGCACTCAATCCACTGAGTCACACCAGCCAGGGCTAAAATATTGGTGATTATAATAGTATCTCAGAGTTGTGAAGAAGAGCTAATATAAGCAAAGTACCTAGTATGTTGGGCTACATAAATGAAATCACTACAGTTAACAATGTCTTTATCTTTATGCTTAAAATCAACATGCATTTTTACTACCTTACTTTTCTGCATCAATGATGATGAAAATATATCTCCCTATTTGACGGATGGGGTAACCTTAATATGCCCTAGTAAAATATATATATGTAACTATGTCAAAGCCACAAGGAAGTCTTGTTTTTTATTTGATGGACAGTCCTGCTTATTGAATTTTATTCAGCTTTGTTTTCCCAGCCTTTCACTGAAATAGGCTTTTTTACTTTTAAATTTACTTTTTTAGCTCTGTACATATTATTAAATGATAAATTTAGACCACAATTATGTTTTCATGTAGATAAATTATAGTAATACCTGAATTAATTTGTTGTCATAGTGATACAATTCATACTATAAAGTGAGAGATCTGGTATGTTGCTTTGTTGCCTGCTATTAGTTGACCTATGACAGTCTGGAAATAATGACAAAAATGTAAGTGCCCAAACTAAAACCATTAGAATTTCTATGCTTTTCTGTTGCCATGAGTGGTTTATTTGTAATTGACTGCTCTTCAATTGCATATTTATTTTTAAAATAACTCTTTTTAGAAATACTTCCAGTTCACCTGGCTGGTACGGCTCAGTGGTTGAGTGCTGGCCTGGGAAGTTCAAAGGGTCGCTGGTTCGATTCCCAGTCAGGGCACATGCCTGGGTTGCAGGCCAGGTCCCCTTTAGGGGGTGTGGGAGAGGCAACCACACATTGATGTTTCTCTCCCTCCCTTCCTCTCTATCTAAAAATAAATAAATAAATAAATAAAATCCTAAAAAAACGAACAAACTTCCAGTTCATATTGGAATGTGGCTTGGTATTTTAATTTAGTAAACTAGGAAATGTACTTATAAACCATGAAAATGAGTTCTGCTTCAGCAGTGAAAATTGTTATTTGATGTTTAATTATCAATTTGTAAAATAAAATCTTGCATGTATGAACATTCCACAAATTTTTAATGAGGATTGTTGATTACCCTTCTTGCCAGTGAGAGGAATAGGATTTTGAATAGAGGCACTGTAAAACTATGTTGCTTATGAAAGTCAATTCATGAAGTCTAACAATTGGCTTTTTATTTTTCTTTTAAATTTAGCAGCCTTTGTTTTTGCCATTTTTGACTGACTCAGCCCCTGGCTAAAGCCAATACACAGCATCAGATCAGGTCACTGCAACATGTTAACCTCAGCAACAAGCTAATTTGATTTTATTACTGGAATAGATTATGAATTTCCAACCATTGTTTAAAATGTAGATGGTTTTCAAGTTACCAGCTTTTATTTTGAAGGTTTTGGGTTTGTTTTTTAGGTTATTATAGTTCTAGCAAGATGAAAACTGTACAGCATTATTAGGCAGTGAGTAAGGAAAAGAACTTTTGCACAGGATAGAAAGGAATATTTAAGGTTGTAGGAGTGTTCTGCTGGCTGGCTGCTTGTACCATGCTGAAGAACAGACATTCTAGAACATAACTGTGGACAATTTCTAAATTTTGACTGGCACAAAAATGGAATTTAAAATATCAAATTAACTCCACCCCCCATCCACCATGGCCAAAATGATGTGTTTTAGTTTTGACCTCTACAGTTCATGAAGACTTTCATACTAAAATTACCAAAAATCTCATTTACCTGGAAATGTCCCCAGCTAGTCAAACTAATGCAGTAATCATTGCAACATGACTTTTTAAATTGGTTGAACATTGGGAGTAACGGGAAAAGGTCTGGGAAGCCTGTTACTGGAAAAGGGACCTGGCCCAGAACAGGTCTGCCTAGGATCAGCTGGTAGCGTGGGGGTTCTTGACTTTGCACAGGAAAGCTTTCAGAACACAAGTCCAGGTGACTGAGGGAATGTTAATTAAAGTTAGCGACAGTGAAAAAGAAGGATTTGGCATAGATGAAGCACAGGAAAGGCCAAGGCAGGGCTGCTTTGACTCACTGGGAAGTCAGAGAAAAGGGGGCCTTGGAGATAGGTTCAGGGGGTTAACCCAGGACAGGCTGCCACTGCCCATTTCTCCCCTGGTTTGCAAGTCTCATGGGGACCCTTAGTTTAGGAGATACATACCTGTGGCAGGAAAGAAAGGAAGGGGAAGGTGCAGGCATGCTCCCCAGGGAGGAGTACACACTGGTCCTTTGTGCTGAGAGTTTTTCTGTCTCCCTTGCAGATGGGAATCTTAGTGGAGGTCTCTGAGAGGGTTTCAGCAGAATATTCATCAGTTCTCCAGGTGTGCCCTTTCAGGGTCATGGTCTCTGTTAACTGGTCAGAGCCAGGGCTGTGGGTCATTGCAGCTGGTCTGGGGGCTGCCCACCTGGTTGTGCTACTTTTCTGGGCCTGGAGCTGAAATACAACTAAAGTCTAGGTATCTCTAGTGAGGTGACCTGCATCTGGCTCAAAATTGCTTGGCCAGCTCAGCCATTTGTTTTAGTTTCCTCACCTCACTTGGCTGGGCTTACTGGCCTGTCTCATTCCCCCCTCAGAGACTTTCACGTCTGAAATCTTTTAGGGGTGATGAGAGAGAAGTGTCTGTCTTTAGTAACTGCTTCCTGCTGACAAGGATCATAGTTCCTGCCTATGTGGGGTATGGAAGTCTCTTTCTGCCTAATCTAAGGGAGACAAGTGAATGAGATTTGAGACTGAAACGGCGAGGTTGTTAGTTGATCTTCCAAAGTAGGGACGGGTCAGAATCCCTGAAGTATTGTCATCTCAACACAGAATTAGTGTATCCTAGAGGTAACAAATGGGATAAGAAGGTTAAAAATGCATGGCCTACTTCTGGCCAAGATGGAGGCGTAGGTAGACACTGCCTCCTCACACAACCAAAATAAGGACAACAATTTAGAAACAAAATAACCAGAACTAACAGAAAATTGAACTGTATGGAAGTCCGACAACCAAGGAGTTAAAATAGACACATTCACCCAGACCGGTAGGCAGGGCAGAGGCAGACGGCCGGACAGAGAGGGGTACAGGCACAAAAAGCAGTGGCACTGGGTGCAGGGTGGCAACAGGCAGACCCAGTCAGGCAGTGATTGTGAAGTGAGGCACTGCGAGCAAGATGGCTGGCTGACCAGGCTGTCCCACATTCACTTGCAGATAAACCAGGTGAAACTGGGGAGCAAGACAGACCATGCAGCCCAGAGTTCCAGCGCTGGGAAACAAGGCCTGGAAACACCCACTGAAAACACCTGTGGGGGTTGAGGTGCAGGGAAGGACTCCCAAACTCATGGGAGAGTTTGTTGGAGAGACCCACATGGTCCTGGAATGTACACAAACCCACCCATACAGGAATCAGCACCAGAAGGGCCCAGTTTGCTTGGGGTAAGCAGCTGAGGGGGCTGGGCTCTGACAGAGTGGAGTGGACGCCAATGTTCCCCCTCAGACTCCACCGCCACATACAGCGTCACAACCCAGCGACCGGGTTGCCCCACCCTGGTGAACATCTAAGGCTCTGTCCCTCATACAGGCAGGACAGGACAAAAAAAAAAAAAAAAAAAAGGCCCAAACAGGATAACAGATCATAGCTCCAAAGCAAAAACAACTAAGCAACAAAAAGATAGCCAACTTATCAGATGTACAGTTTAAAGCACTGGTGATCAGGATGCTCACAAAATTGGTTGAATTTGGTTGCAAAAAATGAAGGCTGCACTAAGTGAAATGAAGGAAAATGCACAGGTAACCCAATAGTGATGGGAAGAAAGCTGGGACTCAAATCAATGGAGTGGACCAGAAGAAAGAAAGAATCAAACAGAAAAGAATGAAGAAATAAGAATTTTTTAAAAATGAGGAGAGGCTTCGGAACCTCCAGGACATTTTTTTTTTTAACATGTAGGGTATGTTTGTCCACAGTAAGGCCACCGGCTTATGCCCCTTGTCACAATCACCCCTGGATTCCTGTTGGGTGTGTTGTAAACCATGGGGCCACTGCATCAGGCTCCCTGTCCAGGACATCTTTAAACGTCCCAACATCCAAATTATAGGGGTACCAGAAGTGGGAGAGGAAGAGCAACAAGTGGAAACATTTGAACAAATAATAAAGGAGAATTTCCCCAATCTGGCAAAGGAAATAGACTTCCAGGAAGTCCAGGAAGCTCAGAGAATCCCAAGGAAGTTGGACCCAAGGAGAAACACACCAAGGCACATCAGAATTACATTACCCAAGATTAAAATGAAGGAGAGAATACTAGAAGCAGCAAGAGATAAGGAAACAGTTACCTACAAAGGAGTTCCCATCAGACTGTCAGCTGATTTCTCCAACGAGACCTTGTAGGCAAGAAGGGGCTGGAAAGAAGTATTCCAAGTCATGAAAGGCAAAGACCTACATCCAAGATTGCTCTATCCAGCAAAGCTTTCATTTAGAATGGAAGGGGAGATAATGTGCTTCTCAGATAAGGCCAAGTTAAAGGGATTCATCATCACCAAGCCCTTATTTTATGAAATGTTAAAGGGACTTATCTAAGAAAAAAATAAAAAACATGTATAGTAAAATGACAGCAAACTCACAATTATTAACAGCCACACCTAAAACAAAAACAAAGTAAACAACTAGAACAGGAACAGAACCACAGAAATGGAGATCACATGAAGGGCTAGCAACAGGGTAGTGGGAGGAGGAGAGGGGGGAAAAGGTACAGAGAATAAGTAGCATAGATGGTAGGTAGAAAATAGACAGGGGGAGAGCAAGAATAGTATGGGAAATGTAGAAGCTAAAGAACTTAGGACACATGGACATGAACTAAAGTGGGGGAATGTGGGTGGGAGAGGGTGTGCAGGGTGGAGGGGAATGAAGGGGGGGAAATGGGATAACTGTAATAGGATAATCAATAAAGGCATGACCTAGCCCTGGTCAGTGTGGTTCAGTTGGTTGGAGCTTCATTCCATAAACTGAAAGGACACAGGTTTGATTCCCTGTTGGGACACATGCCTGGGTTGCAGGTTTGGTTCCCAGTTGGGGTGCGTGGGAGAGACAACTGATTGATGGGGTTTTTTAAAGACTTTTATTTATTTATTTTGAAACGGAAGGAAGATAGATAGAGAGAAAAAAAATCAATGTGCGGTTGCTGGGGGTCATGGCCTGCAACCCAGGCATGTGCCCTGGCTGGGAATTGAACCTGCAATACTTTGGTTTGCAGCCCGCACTCAATCCACTGAGCTACGCCAGTCAGGTGATTGATGTTTTTATCTTATGCCAATGTTTCTCACCCTCCTTTCTTCTTCCTCTAAGATCAATGAAAATGTCCTTAGGTGAGGATTTTTTTTTAAAGTCATGGCCTAAAAATAAGGAGAATTATAACTAAAGGTCTAAGGAGAGGTAAGAACCAGGTGATAGAGGGAGGGACCACTGACTTTGCAGTCCCAGATTAAATTGTTGGAGGGGCTTTCCTGGATGGAGGTGTTGGCTGCCTGAAGCCCTTTTTTAAAATTATATTTAATTTAAATTAGGCTGGGTATATTCTAAGATCCTTTTGAGGTAGCTTTTTTTCTGCCTGAATCTCTTGGGCAGGAAAGAGGAAGCAGTTTCAAGGTGGCAGAACTTTTCCAGAAATGAAGCTGTTACATTGTTCTTTATTTTACTAATTTAAATATGTAGTCCTGAAAATAAGTCAATTCAGTTAAACTGTTGAATCTCACTTCAGGAGGTGATGATGTAAATGGGCTTCGAGACTGAGACCTATATTGTATAAACAATCAATCAGGTATTTAATAAGGAGTGTGCCTATGAAAACAGAAGAAAAAAACAAAGGTTAATGATCAGAGCAAACTATAAACTAGTTTCTGAGTTTATGAGATTATCAGGAAGATTTCCAGATGTAAGGCTTTTGCTAGAATGAAAGTAAGCAGTGACAATCTGCAGTTTAAATATCGCTGGTGATGTCATTAGGTGTTCAGGTAAATTCTGTACGGCTTACACTGCAGCAGTAGTTTTCCATAATTTCAAGTCAAAGAATGGGAGAAGGATGAACCTTAGTTTGAAAGAAAACTAGATAAATTCAGGATTCAATTGAGTTTGTAGGGGAAAAAATAAAACTTTAGAGTTTAATAACCATAACTGTGTATTCTAGATTTTATTGAAACAGTATTTTTCCCTTAAAATCATCCTTATTTTTATCAGATAGTCAAATCAAGACTATCTACTGTATTAAATTCAGTTTTAATTTGGTTTGATTATTTGCAACAAGAATAGTAATTAAATAGGCTTTCTTAAATTTATTTTGTTGAAATTTCCTAAGATTGAGCTTTAACTAGCCCCCTAAGAAATACCCCAACTAATTTAAGTAATGCAGTGATCATTGCAATTATGGCTTTTTAATTCGGTTGAACATTGGGAAAACAGGGAAAAGTATGGGAAGCCTACATAAACACACACACACCCCTAAAACAGATTATTCCTCACATTTTTAAAAATGTAGAGTTGCTGTTACCTTTTGCTTTTCCCCAGCAAAACTTTTTACAGTTACATTTAAGTATTTCAGATAAGTGTAAGTAAAATTCACCTTTGAGCCTTATTTCAAGGCTATTTTGGCTAAGACCGTCATCCAGGTAGGGGTGGAATATGTAGCATGATCATTTTATATTTTCAGCAACCACATTTCAGCTCAAACTTTTGAAGACCACTAGGCACCTACTCTTATTTCACAAGTGCGGAAACCAAGGTATGGGAGGGTGGTTGCCCAAGATGAAGCTGGTGAGCGACTGCGTGGACATCCAAGCCAAAGCTCCAGGTACAGGTAAAGAAGGACGACGTCACTGGTGATGCCAGGCAGCGGCCCCGCGAACTCCGGATGTGGGCTGGACCGGAAGCGGTAATGCTGAAAGCCAGGCCCGGATCCCCTCCTCTCTGCAACGCCTGAGCCGGTAGTTCTGCCTCCTAGGCGGCGATTAGTACAGTCTGGGGTGCCGACCCCGCCCCTCGGCCAGGGTTGGCCCGCCCCTTTCCACTCCTCTCTCTCTCTCTCTCTCTCTCTCTCTCTCCCCCCACCACCCCCCCCTCCGTTTCAGTTTGCCCAGGCGTGGCGAGAGGCGGGCGCTGCGGTCAGTCCAGCTTCCCGACCTCCGGCTCGGCTCCGTTCACGACTGGGCGGGGAGGCAGAGGATGGAAGTGGGTTTATCGGCCTTTACGTTGTATCTAGTCAGCGCCACCAGCCCTGTGGCGGCGACAGCGATGGACCGGGAGCCAGTGAGCCGTGCGGAAGGAGAAGCAGTCGCAGCTTCAGGAGCTGCGGCTGCGGCGGCTTTCAGGGACTCTGCGCAACAGGTAGGTGAGGCCGCCTAGGGAGAGCCCATCCTCCTCTCTGCCTTGTCTGCCAGCTGCCTTTTTGGCTGGCCCATCTTCCTCTGAGCGGACTCCTTGCGTGAGGTGCGTTTCAGAATTTCTCCTCTGTATCCCCGAATCTGCGCAAAGACGCTGGCGTGGAGAAAGGGACCCCTCACCAACCCCTCCGCTGGCAGCGCCACAGATTCTGGGGTAGCCTCGAGTTTCCGGGGGAGATACAACAGTTTCGGGTCAGCGGACGAGAGAACTCAGGCGTGTCCCCGAAAGGTGGCCTCAGTGGTAGGAGGCCCGGTGACGCCGGCTTCAATAACGTCTCAGTCTGTCCTTTTGCAAGCGCCGGACTTGGCCTCTGCCCTTTTGCTTAGCTAATAGCCAGTAAGTGCTAAGATTTTATAGGCTCTTCCACTTGATCCTTATAACTTCTGCATGAAGTGGGAGTTATTTCCATTTCACCAGTGAGGTAACCAAGGCCCAGAGGTGCGTTAGAGGGGTCCAATAGAAATATAATGCAAGCCGCATTGTAAATTTTTGTGCATTTTCTAGCAGCCACTTTAAAATAGTAAAAAGAAATCGGTGAAATTAATTTTAATATTATGTTGTACTCAACCTAATTTTCAAAAACAAATTTCAACAAGTAATTAATGGGGAAGTTATCAGTGAGATATTTTATTCTTTAGGTATCAGTCTTTGAAATTCTGTCTGCATTTTAAACCTACTACACATTTGAGCCCAACTACCCACATTTCAAGTGAGCGTTAACCACATGTGGTAAGTGGTTACTGTTTTGGATAGCATAAGTATAGAGAGTTAGGTAAGATTTGGAGGTTTGTTTTGTTTTGGATTTAGTAGTTTAAAGTAGTAGTTTAGGATCTTTGGCTAAGTAAAACTAATGAAGACATTTTTTTAACAGAAAGCAGCTCAATTATATACACTTACGGCCATTAAAAACCTCATTTTGCTCTTGTACAGAAAACCTCCCACCCTCATTGATTCAGTAGCTTCATTTCTGAGACTTAACTACTTGAATGTTAGTGAGACATTTCCCCTAAACTACAGATTCCCAGAGAATAGTACCTGAATGTCACTATAGCTCTTATAAGATGTAGTTGGCATTTAACAACAACTTTTCTACATACTAGTCTTATATGTAATGTCTTGTTTTTCTTTTAAGAAGGAGGAAGGTAACCTGAGAGAAGGAATTCAGGGGCAAAGTAATTGATTAGGAAACCACTTTTAACTTCATTTGAGACCTGTTGTTGGCAGGTACACTTGAGCTTGATATTGTTTTACATTTGATTTTTTTTCTTCTAGTACTATAATTGTTTTTATCACCACTTACGCTTTGAGTCTAATAGCAAAATAAACATACCTGTACTGACTTATCAGATAAATGTTTGGAGGAAGGCTCTTTGTTTTGGGTTGGTAATATGTTATTTCCATATTCTTGGTTAAAAAAATAATAAAATATTTAAGCCGTAAAGAAAGCCCTAGAACCAACAGTAGTAAGTCATATGAGTCACCCTATCACCCATTCCTCACACTCACATTCCCCAAAAGTGACTAAGTTTCTGGTATATTCTTTCTTTTTTAAAGATTTTTTTTAAATTTATTTATTTTTAGAGAGGGAAAGGAGGGAGAAAGAGAAAGAGACAGAGAAACATCAATGTGCAGTTGCTGGGGGACATGACCTGCAACCCAGGCATGTGTCCTGACTGGGAATCGAACCTGCAATGCTTTGGTTCGCAGCCCACGCTCAATCCACTGAGCTACGCCAGCCAGGGCAGTTTCTGTTATATTCTTTCTGGCATTTTCCTATGCTTATATAATAATCTTTCTTGTTAAACACAAATGGGTTCATACTATACAAACTATTTTTCTAACTTTGCCTTCTTGCTCTCTCATTTACATGTTACTGAAGTAAAAACATCTCTGGGAACTCCAGATCTATGTCTAGGGGTTTGACCACAGTAAGAGGGAAGAGGTCAGTGAGGTGGGGATTTGGATGGAAGGAGAGGCTGCCATCCTGTACTCTTTCACTGGTTTGTCAAAACTGAGAAATCCCAAGTGCTGTGTAGGAAAGGGAGTGAGAGATATGAGCTCGGGTGTGTGTTTAGCATTAGGCCTCAAACCAGGCCAACCAAAAGCTTCTCTGGCTAGACTTTTAACCAGAATTAAAGGAGTTAAAATTTCGCTACTACTCATCCACTTAGTATTATTTAGCACCTCTGCTACCAAGCACTTACCACGTGCCAGGAACTGTAGGCTAAGGATACAACAATGCGGAATACACACTGTGCCTATTCCTATGTTGCTAACTGCCTAATTGGGAAGGGCATGTTTTAAAGAAGTTCTGGGTGCTATAGGAGTATACAAAAAGCATATTGCCATTAAAAATAAGTGCTGAGGAACAAGATTAGCAAATTGCAGACTGGTTAACTATATAATATAATAACATGTTAATAGGCATTGCATTTCATAATTTCCTGATACTAAAAACTGCCTTTTCAGATCTTTGCAGTTTGTTGAAATGGAATTTGTATAATTGACAGCACATTTTTTATTTGCAGGTTTTACAGGTGTTTTTTTTTTTTTTGTAAAAATAAAATGTTTGCAAAATTCAGAGAATAATTTCCATTTATAATTGTTTGAAATTTTGTACCAAAGTACTTCTCAGTTGGTTTTACCTATTGATACCTCCTTTAACTGACTCTCATACCCACCCCCTCTTGGACCCCCCAAGTAGAGGTTGGAGTCAGGTGTCATAGATTGTTTCACAAATTTTTTAAAATTTGCCAATCTGGTTTCTTCATATGAGAGGTTGACAGATTATCGGCTGTGGGCCAAATCCTACGAAGTATCAGTTTACATCAAGTTTTTTTTTTAAAGATTCTATTTATTTTTTTAGACAGGGAAAGGGAAGGAGAAAGAGAGACACTTGAATGTGTGCGAGAAACATTGATTAGTTGTTTCTTGCATGCCCTCAGCCGGGGGCCTGGCCTGCAACCCAGGCATGTGCCCTGACTGGGAATTGAACTGGCAACCTTTCGGTTCGCAGGCTGGCGCTCAACCCACTGAGCAACACCAGCTAGGTCAGTTTACATAAAGTTTTATTGGAACAAAGCCATGTTCCATTTGGTATGGACTGTGGCTGCTTTTGCAGAGTTGAGTATTTATGACAGAGGCTATAGCTGCAAAGCCTAAAATATTTACTTTCTAACCTTTACAGGAGAAGTTTGTTTACTCCTGCTTAAGGTGATAAAATTTGGTTTACTGTATCAAAAACTAATATTAAATTTTAAAAAGCCCTTCAGTCTCTTTAATAAAAATCTTTATATGAAATGTAATGATTAGAGCAAATAAAATGTCATTTTAGTGGCATATTATATATACAGAGAGAATATTACTCAAAGTTCTGTTTATATTCAACTGTTAATGTAATCAAAAATATGAATCGTGTTTTAGCCTTTCCTTTTGTAGTTTTTGGTTTGTTTTTTTTTAACTTTTTGGAAAGAATATAACCAAGAGTCCGAGTTAACAGAGATAGTAGCTAAGTTTATACTAGTTCTTAAGACCCAGCTAGAGTGCTTTGATTTATTAAAGTTGTCTAAGGAAGATAAAGTGGTTGAGCAAATGAGATTGCATAGGGAGCAGTGAGAAGCTTCTTCTGCTCTGATGGGCATGGGTTGGGTGTTAAATTGAGCATGGTGATGTACTGTGAAAGGTCTCAGCTCTATTCACTGACTGGGACTGTTGCTTTGGCATCAGATCCATCCAATTATATGATAACTGGATATCTAAAGTAGCTCTTCTGACTTCCCCTTGCATATAAGCAGGTCCAAAAGGAGACTTTGATAGCAAGACAACCATGAACCAAATCTTATATCAAGGGGTAAAATGAAATTGGGTAAGAATGGCTTACTGTGGCCTGGCATCGGGAATAGAAGAAAGGTGGCCTGGATGGGCCATATGTTGTCCATTTTGTTAATGGACACAATAAATGGGCTGGTCTTCATTTATTAAGGGCTGGGATTTGTTTGAACCCTTAGGACAGGCTAGGGAAAATTGTTGTTTTTGTCTTTTTCAGGTTAGTTAATCCATGGATAGCTCAAGCTGTGAAGGTTTTCATGATCTCAGTTTGCTATACAGCAGGTATGGTTGCTGGCAATGATGACCATGTGTGTAATGGAACAGTGAACGCCTGTGTTCTTTGGGTTGGATATATCTGGATTCAAATCCTGGCTAATGACTAAACTTACCTTTGGGAAGCGAAGAACGGAGAAGAACGTATCTCTTTTCTAAGAAGGTCCTAGAGGATTAAGAGGAACAATGCATAAGAATGAAGTTACTTATACTTAGATAACTGGGCAACTCTAGTCCACTAATTTTTATCAGTACAATTCCATCTCTGCAAATGTAGTTCAAAGAACTTAACAAGTAGTTGAATAATAATCATGGATTTAAATTATGTTTGGTCATATTTACAAGTTTAAGAATCTTTATAGAGGATGAAATTTTTAAACTCTCGACCATCCTAGAGAATTCCACTGACATGGATTCTAATCATGACAGTCCTATAGTCCTGTGTCATTTTGCTTTGGTTTAGTTTTTAAATTGTACCAGTAAACATGAATACATTCTCATCACGAAAGCAAAACAAACAACAAAATACAAAAATGAATAAAAAGGCCCCCTGACCACTCCCTTACCTGTACATCCTCCCCCATTTCACTATTGCCAGATATTTTTTTCACAATTATTTGTATTGTGCCTTCTCAAAATCTTCATATAAGAAGATTCAGTGGAACCCTGGCTGGTGTGGCTCAGTGGATTGAGCGCCGGCCTATAGACTGAAAGGTCACCAGTTCAATTCCGGGGCTGAGCACATGCCAGGTCCTCAGTTAAGGGCATGAGATAAGCAGTCAGTCTGTTTCTCTTGCGCATGTTTCTCTCCTTCTCTTTCTCCTTCCTTTCCCCTCTTTCTAAAATAAATAAATAAATAAATAAATAAATAGTCTTAAAAAGATTCATTGGAGTCTCCCTTAGGAGTTTAAACTTGAGGCAAAATGACAGGGGGAAAAAGTTTCTTCATCCTCTCCCACAGTATGCGCTTACTCTGAGTTAGGCACATGGCCACATGTACGAGCTAAAATTACCATTTACCCAGGAGTGAAATTTGCCTGTAATTAGAATTCCATAGACTACATAGTGAGTATGCAGACGTTTGCTTTATTATTCGTTAAACTCTTCTTAGATGCTATTAATGTTTTTGTGTATGTATGGACTCTTTTTTTTTTTTAACTGTTTAAGGATTGGTTTATGTTTCTTTATTCCCTAAAATAAAGCAGCCTGGAAGTTTTTTGGTCATATGAATGAAAATCTCACTTGAAACTCTTATTTTCTTAATTTATTATGACTTTAGATGAGTCACGAAAGAGGCTTTGAAAATGTAGAACTGGGAGTCATCGGAAAAAAGAAGAAAGTCCCAAGGAGAGTCATTCATTTTGTCAGTGGTGAAACAATGGAAGAATACAGCACAGACGAAGATGAAGTTGATGGCCTGGAAAAGAAAGATGTTTTGCCTACTGTTGATCCGGTAGGTTTGATGCTGGTAATCTTTTTGTCAATGGGTATTGTTTTGATTGTTTTGTTTCCCCATAAACATCAAATGGAAGGGGTCTTTTGAGGTTTTAATCAACTATAATCTGATTATAGAATTATGCATTACATTTTGGTTGGAAATAGTATTTTTTTTAAATCCTCACTTGAGGATATTTTCATTGATTTTAGAGAAGGAGGAGGGGAGGGGAGGAGAGAAAGAAAAAGAAACATCGATGTAAGAGAGGGAAAGCAATTGGTTGCCTCCTGTATGTGCCCATTAGGTATGTGCCCAGGAATTGAACCCACTACCTTTTGGTGCATAGGATGATGCTCCAACCAGCTCAACTACCTGGCTAGGATGGAGATAGTATTTTTACACAATATGGGTGGAGTTATTTCCTGCATTTCAGTAGCCTGAAATAATTTTTTGAATCATTTTTTTTCAGTTATAGTTGACATACAATATTAATTAGTTTTAGGTGTACACTTCAGTGATTAGACATTATATAACTTACTAAGTGATCATCCCGATAAATGTCATACCCATCTGATACCATACATAGTTATTAGAATATTATTGACTATATTTCCTGTACTGTACTTTACATCCCCATGACTATTCTGTAACAACTAATTTATATTCTTAATCCCTTCACCTTTTCTACCTATCCCCACAGCCCCTCTGGGCTGGGGTACCTGGTGTGAGGCTGGAATCCTCAGGGGGGATTCTCTGCAGCTGGGATATCCCTTCCAATTTTTATTTGCCACACGTGGGTGTGGGACTAGCCTGTTCTTAGTCTCTGCCCCTCTTACAAATCCCTTATGTGGTTTCTCCTTTAAGTCCTTAGTTGGAGGACTTCTATTCATCTAGATTTCAGGTGGTTCTGAATGATGGTTGTTCCCTAGTTTAGTTGTAATTTTGGTGTGGTTGTGGGAGGAGGTGAGTACTGCATTTACCTATACTGCCATCTTAACTGGAAGTTGAAATAGTTTAAGTGTCAGAGTTCTTTGAAAACGTGGATAGGTTTCTTTAAGATTTATTTCACTAGCCCAGACTAATGTGGCTCAGTTGGTTGGGTGTTGTCCCTCAAATCGCATGGTCACTGGTTGGTTTGATTTCCTAGTCAGGGCACATGCCTAGGTTGGGAGTCCCTTGTTGGGGCAGGTACGAGAGGTAACTGGTGGATGTTTCTCTCCGTCTCTTTCTCCCTCCCTTCCCTTCTATCTAAAAAAAGTTTATGTTACTAGAGTGCTTGACCTTCAGTCCTTTTGAATTAAGGATTGTATTAGCATAATAGTTTCCATCCAACACCTAAGAGTTGTCAGTTCTTTTTTGTATTGCCTCAAGTTTTGATTAGAAATAGGTGTGTACAGTTCTTAATTGTATAGGCTTTACCAGCTAAATTTGAGAATTTCTAAGTTATAAAAGATGTGACTTATAAAATTATAAGACTAGCTATATTTTTTAAAAAGCAGTGCCACCCTCTCAGTAGTCACTTTAAGAGTTCAGTTAATCAAATATTTACTCACTTTTTAATAGGTACTGTTTTAGGCACTGGTGATTACAGTAATGGACAATGATATTTCTGCTCTTATATGCTAGTGGACAGACAGGCAGTAAACAAATATATACCATAATTATCAGACTGTGGAAAGTGCTATGAAGAAAATAAAGCAAAGTAGCAGTATAGGGAATTACTAATTTATATCTGATTATTTAAATGTTATTCCTAGTTTTTCATCACATTTGGCTCGAAATAAATTTTGGTTACTAAAAAGAAATCAGATTTAGTTTCTGTACTATAGAAAATATTCAAAAGAATGTGCAATATACTCTGAAGGCAATTCCAAATGCATGCAGAATATTACAGAGGTGCTTAATGCAATAAAAGAACTGTTGGAATAAGTGTCTTTTAAAATAATTTTAGAAAGATTTTATTTGCTTAGAGAGGGGAAGAGAGGGAGAAAGGTCAATGTGCGAGAGATACATCAATGAATTGCCTCTTGCACACTGCCAACTGGGGGACCTGGCCTGCAACTCAGGCATGTGCCTTGACTGGGAATCAAACTGGTGACCTTTCAGTTTGCAGGCAGCACTCAAGCCACTGAGCCACATCACCCAGGGCTCTTTCTTTAAATTTTTTAAAAAGATTTTATTTTTTAAAGAGATGGGGGAAGGGAGGGAGAAAGAGAAGGATAGAAACATTGATGTGTGAGAGAAACATTGATCAGTTGCTTCCCAGAGGGCCACAACTGGGGACCTGGCCTGCAACCCAGGCTTGTGCCCTGACTGGGAATCGAACCGACAACCTTTTGTTTCATGGCTGGCACTCAGTCCATTGAGCCACACCATCCAGGGTGAGACAATAACTTTTTAAACACATATATACACAAATGTATACAGATAAAAATAACTAATACCTACAAAATAATTTAAAGGAAAGACATTATTCTGACTTTATTTATTTTTTAGAGAGAGGGGAAAAGAGGGAAGAAGAGAGGGAGAGAAACATTAATGTGTGAGAGAAACATTGATTGCTGCCTCTTGCATGCCCCTTACAGGGAACTTGGCCCACAACCCAGGCATGTGCCCTGGCCGGGAATCAAACCTGCAACCTTTCCGTTTGTGGGACAGCACCCAGTCTGCTGAGCCACACCAGTCAGGGCCACATATTTTCTTAAATAGATGTTTCTTCATTTGTCATATGCTTTTAGGGTTATTTCTAGAGGTTTTAAAAGTATGTTTTCAATACATTGAACCAGTTTCACCTGGGAGTCTCATGCTGTTATGCTGGAAGTCTATATCCACTTTTAAACTCTTTTATTTATTTATTTATTTATTTTTAAAAAGATTTTATTTATTTATTTTTAGAGAGGGAAGGGAGGGAGATAGAGAGAGAAACATCAATGTGCGGTTGCTGGGGGTTATGGCCTGCAACCCAGGCATGTGCCCTGGCTGGGAATCGAACCTGCGACACTTTGGTTTGCAGCCCGCATTCAATCCACTGAGCTATGCCAGCCAGGGCCACTTTTAAACTCTTTAATTACCTTGTTTATAGTATGTTGCCAGTAGAATTTATTTGAAATCTTAGGCTTAAACTGACAGGTCCCTGGGTGATAAGAAACCTGTCTGGTATTTCCTTCACTGGGAGGCAACATAAGTAGTCAGAAACTGGGTGCAGGCCCAGTTGTGTGATAGTCACATAGCTTTGTCAAAAACTTTACTCCCATTGCATTTCGGGTTCCATGATTATTTCAGAAAAGGTAACATTTGCCTCATCTGTATGCAAAGTTGGTTTTGAACATTAAATGAGGTAATACATATGAAGACTCATTAAAAGTTACTAACAACCATATGCATGTAAGGTAGTGTGAGTTAACAAAGCAAATATAGGTGCCACAAGAAATCTTACTGGAGGCAATTTTAGAACTCCATTGGTATTTGAAAACCTCATGACTAATTTTAAAAAGTTCCCTGTAGTCCTTACTCAAGATTCATTTTAGACTTTATGAAATTTAGTTGTTTGATGGCTGCATTCTTGAAATATTCCTTCTGAAGTTTTAAAGTTGTGTTTCCCTTGGTGATAGTTCATGTCCTCTAGAGTACAGTGATTTTTATTTTTTATTTTTTTATTGAATTTATTGGGGCGACATTAGTTAACAAGATTATATAGGTTTCAGGGGGAAAATTCTGCAATATATTATCTGTACATTGCATTGTGTGTTCACCACCCCAGGTCAAGTCTTATGCCATCATCATATATCATCCTGCCCTCTAAGTACAGTGATTTTTAGACAAATAGGAGCTGCTATTAAATATTAATGTAATATAACATAAATATTATATAGTATAGTATAATATAATATAAGCTGTATATTATACTGCCAGTAGGAAACTCAGCCTGAAGCTGACAGCTGACTTTTACTTCACTTCTAAATAAAATTCTTACAAAAAAAAAAATCTAGTGCAGTTCATAAAGAATTTATACTTGATCTTGGCCAAAAGGCCAAGAAGCAATTATAAAAATTTATAATTAGCAGATAGGACTATCCATGTTGACTAAGGTAACCAAAACAAAATAATAGCAGTTACTTAAATCTTTTGCTGAAAGAGGTGCAATTTATTTATTTTTGGTATTTTTCTTTTTTAAAAAATATTTTTACCTTGTTTTTATTTTTTATTTTTATTTTTTAATTTATTTTTAGAGAGGGAAGGGAGGGAGAAAGAGAGAGAGAGAGAGAAACATCAATGCGCAGTTGCTGGGGGCCGTGGCCTGCAACCCAGGCATGTGCCCTGACTGGGAATCGAACCTGTGATGCTTTGGTTCGCAGCCTGCGCTCAATCCACTGAGCTATGCCAGCCAGGGCTATTTTTGGTATTTTTCATTGCTGCCTAAACTTCATGTCTTCATCTGGTTTATTATTTATGCATATATATGTTAATATTAGTCTGTCACCATTCTTTTTTAATGCTATATGTAGCTCAGCAACTTTCAATCTTTTTCATCTCATAACACACATATACCAATTACTAAATTCTGTGATACACCAAAAAATATATATTTTTTTCTAATTTGACCAAAAAAAAAGGAGGTATACTTTTTTTTTCTTTATTGTTTTTTTTTCAGATTTTTAAAAAATATTTATTTATTTTTAGGGAGGGAAGGGAGGGAGTGGAGAGAGAGAGAGAGAGAGAGAGATCAATGTGTGGTTGCTGGGGGCTATGGCCTGCAACCCAGGAATGTACCCTGGCTGGGAATCGAACCTGGGACACTTTGGTTCCCAGCCTGCGCTCAATCCACTGAGCTACGCCAGCCAGGGCTCAAGGAGGTATACTTTTGATTCATTCACACCAGACAGCTATTGTTGTGTTGGCTGTTGTCATTTTTTAACTTGACAGTCTAAGGGAAAAGAGGTCAGAGCCCCTGACTAAAAAGTCAGGTATTGGATGTTTTAAAAATTCTGGTGGTGCACAATGGTTGAACGTCGCTGCTG